TTGGGCCATCTTATTAATATTCGTTGGTTACAAAGGAAGTAATCACATCATAACCAGGTCCACAGAACTTACTCTTTAGACCTCAGTGACAGACTCTCTATTCACTTTATTAAAAAAAAAAAAAAAAGGGAGAGAGAGAGAGAGAGATACACATATACATCGAAAGAGAATCAGTTTTGTTTGTTTTTTATTTGTACATTGACCATTTTAGGTTATACTTCTGGTTCTGACAAAATTTTTTTTTTTAATTCTCACCTGAGGATATTCTTCCACTTATCTTCAGATAGAGTGGGAGGGGTAGAGGGGAGAGAAAGAGAGAGAATTATCAATGTGAGAGAGACACATTGATTGGTCGCCTCCCGCATGACCCTGACTGGGGCCAGGATGGAACTACAACCGAGGTACATGCACTTGAGGGAATCCAACCCGAAACTCTTTGGTCCTAAGACCGACGCTCTAATTTCTGAGCCAGACCAGCCAGGGCTGACAAAACTATTTAACATAGATTTTGTGAAATTATCCCAGTTGTTAAAAATCATTCTCTAAATCAGTGGTTCTCAACTTTCCTAATTCCGTGACCCTTTAATACCGTTCCTTATGTTGTGGTAACCCCCAACCATAAAATTATTTTCGTTGCTACTTCATAACGGTAATTTTGCTACTGAAATGTCTTAGGTGACCCCTGTGAAAGGGTCGTTCGACCCCCAAAGGGGTCGTGACCCACAGGTTGAGAACCACTGCTCTAAATCTTGGCATTTCTTCAGTTCCCTCCCAGCATTCCGATAACTTTCTCTCTTTTGAGTAAATACTACTTTTTATCATATATGCATTCTGCTGACTCTTGAGTACTTGAGCCTTTTCCTTGGCAGACTTGGCTTCTCCAACGTCTTTTTTATGCATCCTTATTTTCCTGTTCCAAGATCTCCATTGAAAGCATCTCACTTCCCCTTGGAGATATCTCTGAATATCTAAATGTCTGTAAATTCTGTTATATTTTGAAGGTGAAATGTATTTAAATAAACATTGGCTTTATAATTACACTTTTTTCATGTGTACATTTTTTGGGGGACACCCTTTATTTCCCTTGCTTGTCATTTATTGCTTAGTTCTATAAAGTACTTGAGTTTCATCCTAAGATCAAGAGCAGATGAGACTTGAGTGCCTTGGACAGACCCATGTTCTACTTGTCAAACAATACAGTTACCAATGGATTGTGAGTTAAATTATAGTGAATGGCAACATTGTTATTCAGATTTCACCTTGCCTCTTAGTCTATTTATATTACAGAAATGTGTTGCTTTTTGTTTCTGAGAGGGCATCAATTTGACCTCTTATAATTAGAGATTTTTTTAAAGTATGAAGTAGAAATAGCAATGACAATTGATGTAGCAGGAAGGATGAGAAATTTTTTGTTTGTGTTTTTTTATTTTTTTATTTAATTATTATTATTATTTTTTAAATCCTCACCCGAGGCTATTTTTTCCATTTATCTTTAGATAGAGTGGAAGGGGGCAGGGGAGAGAGAAACATCGATATGAGAGAGACATCGATTGGTTGCCTCCCTCACTACCCCAACCAGGGCCAAGTACAAACCTGAGACTCTTTGGTCCGCGGGCCAACACTCTAACCACTGAGTCAAACTGGCCAGGGCTTATTATTTTTTAATTCTCACCTGAGGACATACTTTTATTGATTTTTAGAGAGCAAGGAAGGGAGAGAGAGAGAGAAACATTGAGTGGTTGCCTCCTTACATGCCCCAACCAGGGATGGAACTTGAAACCTGGGTACGTGCCCTGACTGGGAATCGAACCTGCAACCTTTTGGTGTATGGGGTGCCACTCCAACCAACTGAGCCACATTAGCCAGGGCAAAAAAAAAAAAAAAAAGTTTCTGTTAATTTGAGAGAGAGAGGAAGGAAGAGGGGGAGAGAGAGAAACATTGATTGGTTGACCAGGACTGAACCTACAATTCCGGCTGTGTCCTGACTGGGAATTGAACTGAGTCAGGAGAAATGTTTTTTAATGTTAACTAGAAAATGTTTTGAGTGGTGAGACAGATCATTATTATTGTTGCTAAATATTTAATATTTTTAAAAGACATCATTTTAAAGTGAAAAGAATGATGGAAAATAAAAAGGGCAAGAGATTGAGAGAATGATTTAAGAATAATTGTGGGTATTTAAGAAAAGAGGGCCTCCTTCCTCCCATTGTAATTTCCCTTTGGTAAAAATGTCAAACAAAAGCCAGCTAATTGGGAAGGAAGCAGGAAATCCTACTTAGTGACTGTCAGATTAGAGTATTTGAGAGTTATGAAAATGCATGTTTCTGTTAAATTTTAATGCTTTCCCTCCCCCCAACTTGTTTCCCTCCTCCCCTTTAAATTGCTTTAGAAAGTTACAATTTTTAATCTCTATTTCCTAGTAAGGATGCAATGAAATAAAATTTGGAAGGCATATATTGTGATGTGATTGTGCAAAACCAGGTAAAGTTTTAAATTTTGTGATTTGAGGGAAACCATTCCACAAATTAATTACTTCCTATGCCAGTGCTGCCCCACTCCTCATCAGGACCGTTTCCCTCCTCTAGGTAGAAAACTGGAAAAACTTAGCTTCAAATAACAGAACTAAAATAAAATAAGGAATCCTGTTTGGTCCTTGTATCTCCTCTATTCCTTGTAGTTTATTACTTCCTTGTTGAAAATATGTTAGAGTACCTTGTTAAAATAAAATTCTCATTTTGTGATTATATTAGGAAAGCAAATTCTGGGATTAGGATGTGAAATTATCTCCAGCACAGCAGTTGTAGGATTTTTCCGGAGATAAATTGCTTTTTAGAAATGCTCTGAGTTTTCAGTCATAATGGTCTTGGTCTTTGCATTTATTTACTTGTATTTATTTGTAACACTATGTTGTAGTTTCAGAAAGTGCTAAAAAAAATCTTCATGTATTTAGAACAAACAAACAAACCAGAAAATCCCCTTGTCCTGGGGCTGTGTGGAGAAAAATAAAGCTCTCGTTTTCCCAGTACCCAATCATCAGCTTGAGCTGGCCTCTCAGGAACACAATTTATTGAAGCAATTTATCCTGGCTAAATGTGATATAAATCTGTGTACACCTATGTACATACAGGCTCTCTTCCATTACAGCAATAATGCTGCAGCATCGGTTTCTTCATAGTTAAACCCTGTTCCTATTACACTGAAAGGACTAAGAAGCCCTTTCTATTTTACAGGCACTCCACAATTTTAAACACCAATTGGTTGTGGAATTACTGATCTGACTACCAAAAATACTGTTTTTTAACCCCAGAGTAAGTCTTGAGAGTCAAAGAGATGTTACCAAGCTACCCTCTGAGGTTTTTGTTTGTTTGTTTTTTATCCTCACCCAAGGGCATTTTTTGATATTTTGTTCAGATAGAGTGGGAGGGAGAGAGAGAGAGAGAGAGAGAGAGAGAGAGAGAGAGAAACATCGATGTGAAAGGGACACATCGAGTGGTTGCCACCCACAAGATCCAACCAGGGCCAGGGACAAACTGCAACTGAGGTACATGCCCTTAGCAGGAACCGAACCCAGGTCTCTCCAGACCACAGGCCGATGCTCCAACCACTGAGCCAAACCGGCCAGGGCTATCCTCTGAGTTTTAAGCATGGTTTTCTGATTACCAGATCTAGTCTAGCACTTTAACATTTTATTTTAATGCAGGCCTGACTGAGGTTAACCTGACATTTGGTTTATCTCCAAGATAAAAATGTGAAATTTGATTATAATTCTGAAGGCAGATTCAAATTATAGTTCTTTCTCTTTCACCTTCTCTTGTTCATATTCCTTCATATACCTTTATCTCTTATATAAGGATGTTTGAAAATGTCCTTTAAGAGTTTATCCTATAAAGACTATTTTTGTGTCCCCCCTTTTTCCTCCAACCTTTCAAAATGTTGTTTTATCTTTTTTTGCATTGCTAATATTTATTTACCTCTACTTCTATTTTTATTCCTAGGAGAGATATGAGAATTTTCCCCCAACACATTCATATTGGAATTATTGTTCTTTAACTTAAAAAGAATTTTGATCAGCTTTGCTAGAGTTAGCTTCAATAATTAAAAAAACAACAACAGTATAAACCCTGTTAAATTCTTCAGAGAAATAGAGAGAAAGGATGGTGATGCCTTTTAGTGCCATTTCTTTATCCCCTGCAGCAGCACACATCTGTTGGCTGCAACCGAGCAGCTCAAGAACTCTGGCCGAGAGCAGCACAAACAGCCGGAACATATTCACCCAGTAAACCCCCAAAGAGTCGACATTTGTTTTATTGCTGCTTTTAAAAACCTAGCCATAAATAGAATCAGAGGGGGAAGGGCACCGATATTTCTCCATTTGCCACAGACGATTGGTGGGGGGAGAAGAAGGCTCCCAGTGGGGAGAGAAGGTTTTTATTTTTATTTTTTATTAATGAAAATCATTTCCCGTGCAACCCAATAGGATGGGGTGCTTTGTTTTCTTTGGCAATAATCTGGGATAAACGGCCCTTGCCAACCGACTCCTAGTTTATACACCAGGGAGCTAGATTATAGCCCTGTAAAATGGAGCACCCCTCCTATAATCCCTTAATTAATTAAATGACAAATTTTGGTCTTCTCTAGTTCAGAAATATGGCTTCCGCATTGAGCGTTCAGTGGATTTATTGACATAGGGAACTGCACTGGTTGTAATTCAGCAGACTGGAGAAGTGTGTTACATACTGTAGCAGAAAGAGGGAAAATCTCGCAAAGGTTTGAAATTCCTTGACTATTTAGGTCTAAATTTTTCTAATTAAAAGTTTCAATTGAGACACAGTAGGTCATATGCCACCTGTCTAATGTGTCTCCCCAAAGTAGCCTGTGTTTACAGCTATGATAGATGGCATTCTTGGAACACCTGTTTCTAGGCTTGATATTTTTGAAGTGCTTTTTTTTAAACTCCAGCATATTTAACATAACTTTTCCCCCTACCTCCTCCTCCTCAGCAGCGCTCTGCTATATGAAATATGGGAGACGACAGACCGTTTGTGTGCAATGCCCCAGGCTGTGGACAGGTACGTTTACAATATACTTTATTGTGAATGTCTCGTTATGAATCAAAGTGGCTGTTTTATAACTAAGGCAAAGAGTTTAAAGCCGGTATTTTACGTGATCACTGGAGGTAATCAGATCAGAGGATTTGCAGTGTGTAAATCCAGGTTATGAGGAAGTGTAGGCACTCCACCGTAATGAAATCTGCCTTGCTCTCTTTCATATTGTTATTCTACTGGTGTTTGTTTCCTATCACAGTGTTGAGGAACACACGTTGCTCTCTCTCCTCCTTTCTAAACCTATCTATCTAAATACAAAGCAAGTTTAGAAATACCTTCTCACCTTCATGGATATAAAAGTCAGCTTAATATATTTGGATAGGCAGCTGAGAATGCACCCATTCATTGTTAACCCCAATTTGCCAGAGTCTATTTGGATTTTTTTTTAAATAAGAAAAAAGAAATGTTTATTTTGACTGTTGATCCAGAAAATCATTGTTAGCAGCTAAGGCAGATATCTGTCTAGGAAAGACAAATCAAACATAGAACCTGAGTTCTCACAGCAATATATAAGCTACAAGATTTCTCAGCCATTTTCCCTGATGCCACATTATTGTTTGAATATGTGTACATCATGTGTCAGATAGTTTTCATCATATACTTTTTTAATAAAGTAATTTTTTTTTATCCTCACCCATGGACATTTTTCAATATTTTGTTCAGATATATCGAGTGGGAGGGAGAGAGAGAGAGAAACATTGACACATCGAGTGGTTGCCACCCACACAACCCAACCAGGGCTGGGGACAAACTGCAACTGAGGTACGTGCCCTTAGCGGGAACCAAACCCAGGTCTCTCTGGACCTCAGGCTGATGCTCCAACCGCTGAGCCAAACCGGCCTGGGCTAATAAAGTAATTTTTTTGAAACTGCCTCCCCCCTTCTCCATTTTACACCTTCTTAATTCTTCCTAGACCCTCCCCTGCTTCTGTGTTCCACAAAGGATGAAGAAAGGAATACAAAGAACATTTTATCTCCTTTCATAAATTAATTTTATGGAACCTGAAAAAGTTTGAATTTCTGTTCAGTTAGAAATATGTCATGTGACTGTCTAGTGACACTTACTGGTGGTATGTGAGATTGCAGACTAGTTCTATTAAACATTGTAAATACTTAAACAAAAAGAAGAGAGTTACTTCCAGAGATTCTTTTTTTTTTTTTCAATCCTCACCCAGGGATATTTTTCCATTTATCTTCAGATAGAGTGGGAGGGAAAGAGAGGGAGAGGGAGAGAGAGAGAGAGAGAAAGAGAGAAACATCGACGTGAGAAAGACACATCAATTGGTTGCTTCCCACATGACCCGGACCAGGGCCGGGGACTTAACTGCAACCGAGGTACATGCTCTTGATGGGAATCGAACCCACGACTCTTTGGTCCACAGGCTGATGCTCTAACTGCTGAGCAAAACCAGCCAGGGCAAGTTCCAGAGATTCTTAAGAATTGGAATTTGAATGGTGGATGAAATGGTGGTGGTGACAAGGAATGGGTAGAAGGACGATTTCAAATTCCAGTAAATGCTGAAAATTTCAGAAAAGACTAAAAAAGCATTGTTTTCTGAAGTATTTAGCATTATAGGGTGTATTTCCTTCCTTGTCAAAGTTTTCAGCTTAGTTGTTGACTGCATGTTTTTCCCCTGCTGGTTTATACTTTATTTTTTTTACAATAGAAGCCACTTGGGAAAATAGGGTAAATTCGTTTCACTTTTCAGACAGCTTTATGGGAATACATATCTAAACTTGATCCCTCCAAATTTTTGTGTGAAATTTTTTAAAAATGTTATTGGTTTATTATTTATTTTCATTATTATTATTTTTAGAGAGAGAGGAAAGGAGAAGGAGAGGTATAAACATCGATGAGAGAGAAGCATCAATGGGCTGCCTCATGCACAATCCCAATTGAGCCCACAACCTGGACATGTGCCCTGACCAGGAATCGAACCAGTGACATTTAGGTCCATGGAATGATGCTCAACCAACCAAGCCACTCTGGCCAGGCTGTGTGAATTTATTGATAAAGAGTATTTTTTTTTATATATATACTTTTTATTTATTGATTTTAGAAAGGAAGGGAGAAGGAGAGAGAGACAGAAACATTGACGAGAGAGAACAGTGATTGGCTGCCTCCTGCATGCCCCCAACTGGGGATCGGGCCCACAACCCGGGCATGTGCCCTGACCAGGAATCAACCCGGCAACCTCTTGGTGCATGGGTTGACGCTACACCAGCCAGGCTATTGATAACAGTATTTAATGTGACTCCCATAACTGATACTGGATACCTTTTTCACATTTTTCCTTTACATTAAAAATCTGCATTTTTGGTGCAAAGATTTCTTTTTCTCATACTTACATTTATTTTTCTTATTGTTTAAGCTGTTGAGTGCCTATAACCCCTCTTATATGTTGTGTACCTAAAACCACCCACACAAGGATGATAAAAATAAATACATGGGAAAACCATCTCTTAAGCTCTCGAAGAAGAACGATCTAAATAGTGTTTCTTCAGGCTGTCTCATCAGAAAAGAGTAGTTTTCACTGAAATTTGAGAGCTCCCAGAAGGGTTTTATGTTTGTTTCTTTGTTTTTGTTTTGCATTTTGGACTAGAGGTAGGAAATCAGTAGGTACTTTTTACTTTGGTTCCTTCTTATATTTGTTGGGTTCTGTTTACCATAAGCCTTTTTATTCCCCTACATCTTCCCATTTCTGAATTGTTTGTTGGTATTTTGGTTATTAGAATTAATTATGAACTCTGGCATAGCTCCTGAAGACTTTTTTTTCCCTTAGTGAGTGGGAAACTCAGGGAAACTGCTGCCTTCTTTTAGAAGTTACTTGTTTCATAGTGAAAAGGATACAAAGCTATAACTTAAGGCTTTGAAGATAGCCTGATTCTTTTACCTTCTTGCATGTTAAAACTTGATGGTCAGGTGAGATTGTAGTTCTTTAGTTATATTTTAGTCTTCTTCCAAGTGTGTTCCAATATCTGGTAACAAATAACTATAGAGTGGGATCCCTGCAAGATTTACTGTTATATGAAATAGTGAAAATCTGGCAGAGAAGATAAATTTGGTATAGTGAGCTACCCTTGGCCTGTCATCCAACTTCCTTATATCCCTTGAAAATGGTTTCATTCTGGAGCCACCTTGAGGCCTTCAAGCTATTTATAGTCCACTGTCATTGATTAAAATTCTTTATTCCAGAAATAGTAGAATAATAAAAAGGCCAATGTAAGTCCCAGGAAGGGTAATAAAGACTGTGATAATTTTTGCTAGGCAAGGTTTAGAACTTAATCCTATAGAAATCTCGAAAATCAGTGGCTTCTACCAGTTAGAGAAAGAAAGAATGAAAGCAAATGATAATTCAAGAGACTGATTCTTAAAAACCAACCACAGTCAGGGCCAGTGTACTTCAGTGGTTAGAGCATCAGTCTGCTCACCAAAAGGGTCCAGGGTTTGATTCCCAGTCTAGGGCATGTACCTAGGTTGTAGGTTCTATTCCCTGGCTCTGGTCCCGGTGTATGTGTTAGGTAGCTAATTGATGTGTCTCTCTCACATCGATGTTTCTCTCTTCTCTTGCCCCCTGCCCCCCTTTTCCCTCCCTTCTACTCTCTAAAAATCAATAGAAAACATATCCTTGGGTGAGGATTAACAAAAACTATAGGAATCTTGCATCATTTCCATGTCTGTTGCCTGCCTAGGCTTTACCCCATGTACGCTGAAACTCAGAAAATGTCTTATGCTTTAATATTAAATTAGGAAGGTGAAAGGAAAATTCACCTAAAATAGACTAGTGGATTATGCTCTCCACCATATAATCAAAACCACCGGGCTTTCAATGGATACGTAAACATGTTTTGGTTGCTAGGTCTTTAATGGCTGTTATTTTTGGATTCTGTTCATGATCCACTTCCCAACAGTAAGTCTGATGCGACACAGCTGAGTTCTAAATATGCTGCCTGTACTTTTTTTTTTTTAAGATGGCTGCTAAATGTTGTGTTCTCTGCATTCTTATTTGAAAAAACAGGTGATATGGTTTTTTGAGCCCTCTCATCCTTTTTCTCCTATTGAGACTCTGTTTCTCTTGAGGACTCATCACCTTCATGAAGAGGAATTCAGGGAAAGCAATATTCTGGCTATATATCTCTCTGTGGAATGTGGCAGCAGTAGTAGTTAATAGAGTTCCCTCCAGAGAATGGGTTAGTGTTGTTAAGGCAATAGTGCCCCAGATTCCTTATGGCAAAGGGCTGGTTGAATTTGAGTTGTATGGGTTTTTGATGGTTATAAGATAGCATGTACAGGGTGGGATAAAAGTAGGTTTACAGATGTTTGTATGGAAAATAATACAATAATTAATTATAATACAAGAATAACCTCTGTATTTTATATACTCACAACTGTAAACCTACTTTTGCCCACCCTGTATTTTAAAACATTGTAACTATAAAATGGGTTTGCCTGTGTGTTAATGTTAAAATAATAGAAATACAGTTTGTGGCTGAATCTAGCAAATTTTGTAAGGTTTTAATGCTTTAGGGACACTTTTACTTGAAGGTGGATTATAAAGTTGTTCTATTATATGTGGAAGTAGGAAAAATTACTATTTATCTGTCAGTAAACTTGAATTTGAGATGTTATTTCATGAAAATGCAGTTAGATAACTTACCTTTTGGATGTTTTTTGTCTGGTTTTTATAATTAGGAGTCAACCAAGTCCATATTTCTATACTTCCTCTAAAGCTTAGACACTGGTTGCAGTACAAATTATTCATAGTCCTGATTACCATAATCAAGTCATTGAGCAGAAGTTGGTCATATAAGCTTATTACTTAAAATGTCTATTTTTTTAAGAACAGGAACACATGTCCTATGAAGAGATAATACTTAATGGATAGTTAGTATCATCCCATTATTAGACATTGAGAAAGGTTTCTGTCCTAACTACTCTGTATCAACTCTGCCCTTTTAAGGAAA